ATCTTGAACTACTTTTTTCCCATATGTTCCTTTAATCTGTTGCCAGCCTGGGATCTGACACATGGCAAACATGCTGAAGTTCTCTGAAATGGTCTCCAAATTAAAACAGCTTCCAAAATTCCTGCTTACCTTACTGATACTGATCTTGCTAGTCGCAGTAGCCACTATACATTTGATTATGAAGATCCTACAGACAGAAGGTTAGTTGTCCAGTCTTTATATTAATTTTCCTTGTATACTGACTATCTGCAAAAAGAAGGCAGTGGGACCTGCTGGTGGTCAGTGTCCATTAGTGCTTGTTCTCTTGATAGTTAAGTTGCTTTTGATCTTTGTACGACAGACGAAGTCTTAAGTGTCAGGCAATAAAGGCTGAAATATGCCATCTATCAATTTCTTCAGTTTAGTCTTTTAAACTATATTATGGTCAATTACCAAAACCATTTCATATTTAGCAAAGTGTTAGTTGTCCCTGCCCATTCTTTTGACAGTGTAGGTGGAACAAAGTTAATAAGGTGGAGTAGCAAGTCTTCACAAATACGAGTTTTGCTGTTTTGAGAACAGCTAATATTGTTAAGTGTTCATCTTTCTTTTATTTATTTGTTGTTTGTTTATTACAACAGAATTAATACCATATAGACTATTACTATTTTATTCCTGAAATTAAAGATACAGCAGTGCTGTATTTTGTACAGATAATTGGCTGTAGTTCAGTATGAGAGTTCTGAAGTAGTTGACATGTAAGTGTGAGCTGTTCCCCGCCTCCTTTTGGTGTGTGTCTGTACATCACAATCCAGATGTGATTGTAGCATGGGTTAGTAGTGTGGTTATACCCTGGCTAACTTGACTTCTGATAATTAGGCTAGTGATACTAAAATGCATTTGCAGAGGCTGAATAGCAAAATACGTGTCTTCTGTTTACCCCAGGAATATTGTCTGGTTGCCAGCGTTTGCTGAAACTCACGCTGCCATGTCTTTTTATACTTCTAGTATTAGGAAGAGAAAATAATTTCCTGCAAGGTGATCTTTGTGGGGACAATACTGTGTTGGGAGGATCGGATAACTTTAATGTTCTTTCAGCTAATAAACTAGAACTGTACCTTTTGTTCCTTGCTGGAGGAGCTGCTTAGGAAGGAGCATCATAATGATAACCAAAGAGATACTCTGTCTGTGTATTCATTGTTCTGGCAAGGCCATAAATATTTCAGGGAATTACTGATATCAGAAATAGAAGGGACCTATTAAATTATACAATGTATATCCTGAACACATCTGTACAGCTCCCTTTTCTAATAGTTTCTGACTAGC